GTCCCTGGCGGCGTAGTGTGTTACTGATGGTAGCCTTTGTTACTTTGGTCCCAGCTCTCTGCAGGTCATTGACTAGGTCCCCCCGTGTGGTTCTGGGATTTTTGCTCACCGTTCTTGTGATCATTTTGACCCCACGGGGATAAAGTTAAAAGCATCAATCTGGTGCACTTTGAGAGCAAAATGAAGAGATCTATGGATACATCTCTCAACACAGAACTGTAAACAGATTTACTATTTCTTTATGGATATTTTACAAATCACTCCCCTTTTAAACTTTATTCATTTTTTAATGTCATATAGTATTTCATACCGGTTTTTAATTTATTCTCTTATTTGTTATAACTATAATGATCATATAAACGTGTGCCTCGGAAATAATTGTTTACATTAATGGTGACCAAAACGTTTGAGACCCACTGAGATAACACTGAGAGTCCTTTAGCTCACTGAGTCTCTCAGGCTGACAGGAGAGGACTCTCCTCCACTTTGCTGTTGAAAAAACTCCTTATATCCGTTAGCGTAGCTCGCTAGCACCAGAAGCTAAAATCAACGATCTCCGGTACCGGTGCGCTCTCTCTCTCGCTCGCGCACACACACACAGAGCCGATATTTAATGAAACAGAGACCCAGACGTAATAGTACTATACTGCATCATATTATTTTCGAATCAATAAAATGTCAAAATATGATTTTTTTTTAAAATCTTTTTTTTTTTTTTTAAATAACCATTTTTCCTCCTGGTCTCTTGCGCCCCCCCCCTGTCATGCGTCTGCGCCCCCCAATTTGAGAACCACTGGCCTAGCGCATGTTAGTACCTAGCGCCACTTGTTTTGATGTACGTTTATGTTGATAACGTCGCGAGTTTGTATCTTTCAGTGTTGAGGTGGGCACCGTTAGATTATGTGTCTTTACGATCATAAACTATGTGTTGGATGTGCAGCTAGGATAAGTAATAAGGGAGCTAGGAGTGATTTTCGGTGCAGTAATAGGTTAGCATTTTTCGCTCGGGGCTAATTCAGAGGCACACTGTTAGCATTGTGTGTTTTTTTGAAAAAAAAAATGAAAAAGATCAGTTAAATCAGAGTTTTTCCCCATTATATGGATATAAAATATTCATAGTTTATAAAATATTAAGGTTCCTTAGACGTTGTTTCCTGCAAATGACGCAATTTCTGCCCCGGAACCGGGTCCGTGGGGCCTAAGAGGATAACAGAGTATGTTTTTTATTTATTTTTTCACAACAGTTGTATTTGGATGGAATGAATACCTATAGTGATAATTCTAAGTAATAAAATGATTTTTACAGTGAAAAAGGTCAAATGGAACTGATGGTTCCCAAATTACCCAGAGGTGAGTCCGCCTGGACTTTATTTTTCTAAACCTCTCTAAAAAGGTCAAATGTCACTTGCTTTGCATCAATCGTGATACAGGGTACTTATATGTTATAGTTTGGATTCCTAAAGCTTTTAGTCTACTAACCCATCATCCAAGGGTGGTTTTCACTATAAGTAATGTTTTTTTTTTAGGCGGACATTAGAATTAGATTAGAATTTAAATGTTTTTACTATGTTCCATCTGAATTTACTTTAAAATAAAAACATCTATATTGATTCTGACACTTCTACATCCAACTCACAGATGTAACCTTGCTTTGAGAGAAAATATTATTAATTTACCCCTTTTAGAAGTGAAGATATAGTCTTTGTTGTGTTAGTGGCATTTTCGAGCCTGAAACCTGAAAAACAGGCTCAGGGCATAAGAGGTTAAGTGGGAGAACTTACACAATTGGTGGCTGACTAAATACTTTTTTGCCCCACTGTATATTCAGTGGCATTCCCCTTTCCCTCCAGGGTTCATTCTTGCATTGTGTTTTTTACTTTGTTTTAATAAATCACTTTTTTACTTAGCTTTAATAAATCCGATTATATAATATGTGTCAAAGGATTCTATTTTTTTTTTTTTAGAGTTTGATGGATATTTGTTCAAAACACAGAACACATGACACCTCCAAACTCGCTCAGTGAGCTGACTGCTGTCTAAAAATCAGACCATATCCAGGCTTGGGGAGTAATTAATGTGGCAGCATTACATCATCAGGATATAAAACAAGGTGTATTCCCTTACAGTTAATTAATAAAAGATATAATCAGATGTCTTACATTTATAAAAACTGGGGATTACTAGTAGGATTACAATGTACATTTTCAAATACACTTGCATTGTTGGTCAGTGATTTTATAGGTTTAGAGTTTAATATAATCTACCGCTAACATACTACATACACACTGCTAAAAATGGGTTTGATATGTTGGCACCTTGGCTTGTTTGGTTTGATCAGAGCATCAGTTATAGGATTTGTTCCACAACACGCTATAAACTTATGCAAATGCCTTGGACAGTATGTTGGGATCGGTTTTCCTTGACGTTTTCAGTTGTCTCTGAAACCTGTTCAGTGGAGTCATGGCAGTTAGGTGTCTGAGTGAAGGGAAGTCCAAACGTTCTCCTCCTCCTCCTCCTTTTTTTACAAATAATCACATACACGTGACGACATGCATTTTGTTTCAAAATGTACACTTTATTGTCAACAACAGTACAAAAACAAAGTCTGTATTTACAACTCTACTATGGCCTCCTGATCGGTCCATCTTTGGTTTCACTGCTGACCTGATTATTTGAAAAGCATAAAAAAGCATGAAAATAGAGGTGGTACTACTACTACTGCTTTCATTTTGCCAGGCAACCATCCCAAAGCATCTTTACGCTGCCCATTTTGAAGGTGTTGGGAAATTGGTAATGTTGACAAACAGTTAAAAGGAGAATGGAATGTCATCTCTTTGCTTCAGATTGGAAAACTGGCAACGAGACATTTCTATAAAATCAATCGGAGCATGGTTCCTTCCAACATCAAGTGTTTAATGATCAGGCAATCAGCTCTTCAGAACTGTGTGTATGATGTATGGAGAAGCATTTTCATACCTTGGCTTTTATTGGTGTACAATAAGCCTGGTTGTTAGAATGAGCCCCACTTATCGGGTCCTCTTCCACAGAATCCACCATGTTATAGCGCACGTTTCTACAGAAGCCCTGAACAAACAAAAAAACTTCGCATGTCTAGTTTACCAAGGGAGGGGTGAAAAGGCATTCAGCTGATCACTAGATGTCCCTCATCTTGGACCCTGGTCCTTTGAAATACCGGTACTTTCTTGCCAGGTGCTGAAAATGCAGTCTAAAAACACTGTTCAATATGTCGAGTCAAACATATTATTAATCCACTCACACGAGAAATATGAACAAATGAAAAAGTGAAGGCTTCTTTTGTCAGACCAATTTAAATCACACATATGTTTATGTATTCATTAGCTAAGCAACTAAGAACTGAACTATAAGTGTCAACAAAGTTTAACATTTCTGTTATCAACCCTTTGTCCCTGGCAGGACAATGGGGTGTTGCATTGTGGGATGTACCATAGAAAAATGATGTAAACCCAGAATACTACCTCATCTAGTCTGACAATCTCCACCACAGTCTTCAGTTGTCTCTCACACCACAGAGATAAACATGACACAGCAATATTATCAACAGTAATAATGATACAGCAGAGAATGAGCACAGATGCTGTATAACCATATTCAGTACCGCTTCAACACTTGATGAGGCCTTCACGCAGGCTTAACATGTTTTCTTTGAAGCTGCAGTAACCAGGAAAGGTTGCACACAGAATATAAATACAAAAAAACACTAAAACAGATTCTGACCTGGCACAAAGCAAAGAGAAGAGAAACAGTGTTAAGGAGCTGAAGAGACAATTAAGTGTTTTAAAGTTAACCACAAAGGAACAAATCCATTAGCATGAAGCTTAAAACAGAAGACTGGAAAAACATAAAGCAATATGAAGTGTGAGGACTTCTGCCTTTTCAAAGTATTTGCAACAGAACATAATTCTAAATGTATCTTGAGACTTCAAAATGTGGAGGGGGCATACTGTAATTCACCAAAAAGAAGAAATTAGTGTGTCATAATGCTCAATTGTTTTATGTCCAATTTGTATCTTCACAAAGATGATTTAATATCCTGACTTTAACTAGGACGTGTTCTGTAAAGGACAGACGACAGTTTGAGGAGCAGAGAACATGTGGAGCTTTTCCTTAAGTCTGAGGGCAGTAAAGTGAGTTTACACACAAGTAAAAACTAGGAAAAAACATTGGCATGCTCAGACAAGGATATATATATATATATATTAGTGCTGTCAAAATGATCGCGTTAACGGCGGTAATTCATTTTTTGAATTAATTGCATTAAAATATTTAACGCATTTAACGCATGTGCAGAATGGCCCGCCCCATACATCCCACCAGTGGCAGCGCTAATGGCTTAGCCCCACCATGAAAAATGATGTTAAAGTAAGCAAAATAAAGTCCGCCAACTCGCGCCGAGAATTGCACAGACGGCAGTTAGTAAGATTGATTTCAGCAGCCACTTGTCTGGAAATACCGAAGACCAGAAACGGTTTTGAAAACTTTTGTCACGTAGTGATTGTCTTCTCAATAGAACATCTTTGATAACGGCGTGGTGTTGTTGCAGGAAGTCCCGACGGAGAATACTTTTGCTGTAGTACAGGGGTGCACATAACTGGTACGCAGGTTATGTGCGTAATCTGAAATGCGTACCGTCACTTGTGTCACAAAGCGCATTTGCGTACCGACGTACTTGTGAAGCTTTTCCAGAAGGCGGTTAGATCACCGGACGACAGAGTCGGTCTCCGTGTGCACAGACAGGGCTGCTGTTAACGTCGGCCTGTACAACGGAATTGTGCCAAAACTACGCCAATCGGCTGCGGAGGGAGACTCCCCCCCCCCCCCCCCTTCACTGGAGAACTGCGCTAAAACAGCTGATCACAATGTTCACACTCTGTGGTCACGAAGTACTCCACTAGCCCCCCCCCCCCCCCCCCCCGTCGACTTTCCTGAAGTACTCCCCCATTGATAGAAATCAACACGTAATGAATTAAGACCCCACGGTTTGATGATTGATAGGTGCTCTCTTTCATTTTGACATACAGAAAAATGTTACAATAAACATGTTAAATGGATATATCCGCCTTCTTTCATTTATCTTTCCATTCCCACAACAATATACATAAAGAAATGACATATTTTGGACATAGTTCGAATGGTGATTAATCATGATTAATTAATTTTTAAGCTGTGATTAATCTGATTAAAAATGTTAATCGTTTGACAGCCCTAATATATATATGTATATATATATAATATTCAAAATTTGAGTTTTTACATTCTTTGAGGGATTTCAAAAACGAACAAAAAATCAAAATCCTGAAGGAAGAACTGAGCAAAAAAAACATCACAGAACATGGAGCATTCACCAGGAACACTAAAGAACAGTAACTGAGCAGCTTCAGTGTGCACACAGGAACAGTGGGGGGGGAGTCTGGTCCTTACTGTTGAACAGCTGCTTCAACTGCTTCTGCCCCACACAAGAGGAATCAAGGCATCATTATCATTTCAATCATGTAGCCTAAAGTTTAACATATAATGTCCAGAAAAAAACACTTTTACATTTGCATTCTAAAGGATAATTATTAGTTAATAAATCATAGATCTAAATTGTACAAGGTTTGGTCATCAGTCTAATTAATTACGGAACCTTGTGCTCACTAAAGTAATCTCTGAGCCCACTTTAACAATGTAATGTAATATATAATACAGAACCAGGCAAGAGCTTCACAAATCTGTTTTCATGCATCCACAAAGCATTCTGCTTCTGACCCTTTGGATAAGAAGTGCACCTTAAATATTGACAATAACAGAGGAAATGACTTTATCATAAACCTTTGTTTTCTATTCCCAATACATTTGATTATACAGTTGTATTTCTTTGGAGTATCTTTGGATACTTTACTTTTAATTTCACGTGTAGCTCACTGTTACATGGACACTGAAAGTGTTCTCACCTCTCAGCCCTGCAGTTCAAACCGTGGGATGGTTCTCCTCCAGCTTCTTGCTCTCCTCTGATGTTCCCACCTCCTTCTCACCAGTTTTCCAGCTTCCTTGTCTGAGTGCAGAATAACAGAAGTGTGAAGCAGAAGAACCTCTGCCACAGAATCACCTTCTGACCATCTCCAGACCTCCTAACCCTAACCTGCAGCATCAGCTTCTTCATATTCACACATCACATTCTGGATTTGTCTTCGGGACTCACACGGAGAAACACTTTTTGGTTGTCCATGTGTGTGTGTTTCTCTACCTGGAGTTCTTCATGTAGAGCCAGTAGACGAGTGCCACCACAGCAGCAGCTATGAGGAGCCCTGCCACCCCCCCCCACTATGAGCTTGGACTGGTCCTCCGATTCCTCCTTAGATCCTGACAACAGACGAGAACTCTGTGAGGACAGACACACATACAACACACACCTACTAGTACTCACAAAACATCAAATATTTGTTTTGGGTTTTTAATTATTATTAAACTGTGAATATTCACTCAAATGCAAAATATAATAAAATAAACATTAAGGTGCAGCATTTCGATGAACTGAAATAATCTGTACTTGAACTGTACTGTACTAGTTTAACATTAGGACTTGCTTGCCATTGTATTTTCAGGTTTTTTTTTAAAGAAAAATGAACTTGTCCACATTGCTCTTAAAGGAATGCTCCACTCATTAGATAATTAATCAAAACTTCAGTATTTAGTGAAACATTATGTTTAAACCATACCCTGAATAAATCAGCGATATTCCCCGGTAAATAATGATTTTATAGCTCTTTTTTATCAAAACCTGTATATTCCGTCAGGCCGCTGCCATTTTGCCCATTTTCAGTAGTCACGTGATGGTCGTGACGTCATCCATGCGTTCACTTTGTAAACACACGAAAACATGGCGGAGTATTTGAGTTCGGACTCGTCAGCCGAGGAAGAAGTTTTGAGCAATATGAAGAGATTGGATGGGGGAATTCAGCCATACAGGTTCGAGCCAAGTAGTCAGAACCGTCAGGAATCCAGGGACAGTGACGATGAGGATGAACAGCACGGTGATCTTGCTGGAGACGATCCCTTTACTCGCGCAATTGATTTCGGGAGGCGAGTAGGAAGACCTGTACATGAATGGTGTACCTAGAACCACGATTTTATGGGGACGGAAATACTGGGGGAAAATACCCACTAGCCGGTACTACGCTATATGGAAAGGCCACCAAAAACTGGCCTGGCCTGGACGATAAAGGACGTTTAAACGGGGCTACCCGCTGCAATGGAAATGCGCTATAACATACCTTATTCTTACTCCGAGCACTACTTCTGGTCCTCCGTCGCTTCACACTTGCAGAGGGCGATTTCTCAACTGGCCGAACTGGTGTCCTGGTCGGTGATGACACCAGAAAGACCGATGGTACTGCATCTCCATTAAGTAATGGTTGTTCAATAAATCCCATGTTATGTTTTATCATACTCTCAGAGTAGTCGTCCGGAAACTTGAAATGTTCGCTGCATACATGCGCCTGTGGATCTTTCGGTTCGGGCCGGCCACATTTCGCTAGCCACTGCCTCCGAACGTACTTCCTACGCTTACCTTTTGGCAACAGATGGAACCGAGCATTCCGTGGATTGTTCCTATCAGAATTGTGGCAATGTTTCGCGATACAATGAGGCATATTTGAAGAGAGTAACTACAGTAAATAACATGAACATCAACGTGTCCTCGAAACCAAACGCATGGTTTACGTCACGTCCGGTAAAATGGCGCCGCCCACAGTGTTGATGTTATTTCGGTAATTAATCAGTTTAAAATCACTGATAATGTCATCGGATTAAAAAAAAAAAAAGAGAGACTGGCAGAGACTGGTCTGTTTTATCGGATGATAATTATTTAAAAATGAGTGTCATGAGCATACCATTCCTTTAAGCTCTCAAGCCCTAAGCCTGTTTTTCAGGTTTCTAGCTCGAAAATGACATTCCCAGAACAAATGACCATATCTTCCCTTCTAAAAGGGTTAAATTAATAATCTTTGTTCTCAAAGTAATGATAAACCTGTGAGTTGGATGTAGAAAAGTCAGATTCAATATAGATGTTTTTTTATTTTAAAGAAAATTCAGATTGAACATGGTAAAAAACTGTAAATTATAGTGTCTGTCCAAAAATATGTTGTACTTATAGTGAAAACTAACCTTGGATGATGGGTTAGTAGACTAAAAGCTTTAGGAATCCAAAGTACAACATATAATAAGTACCCTGTATCAAGATTGATGCAAAACAAGTGATATTTGACCTTTTTAGAGAGGTTTAGCAAGAAAACCCTCTTCTGGGGCCATTTGACCTATCTCTGGCCCCCCTTGCTGGATTTTGACATGTGACATCTCTTCCTGACCGTTAGAGCCAGTAGAATCGGAGGGAAATGGTCCCGCACACACTCATGTAAAAAAAAAAAAAAGGTGGCGTCTTCGTGCATTCAATCCAAGCCCCCAGGAAGTGCGCCGGAGTCTAATGAGAATATTCGTGCTGGTCAAATGGCGGTACTACACTTCCTTTAGGTTGCTGGGCCCGGAAACACTTATTCCCATTGACTTACATTGGGAAAGAGTGGTCTGTAACTCGTTGGATAATTTTTTTTAAACTAAATAAACTACCCAGTATGAACGTTTGTATAGCCCTTATTAAAAACATTCGTTCCTCAAGTTGTAAACATTTGCTAATAACGTTATTCTGAGAGTTATTTCCCTCTGCATTATGAACGCGCATCTAACCCACGGGACCGCGCTGCCCGGCACATTCATGTTACGTGTTCAGTACTACATGAGTTTCTCTTTACCCATGGATGCACAATAACAACAGACCCATATCGCCTTACTGCCAGCCCACGGAGCTGTAATAATGGATATATTGCACATGTTTGCTGTAATTCATCATTTGTAAAATATTATACTACATGGGCTGTATGATGTAAATGTTGTATTAAATAAAGTTAATATTACCGACGTAGATTAACGTTCCTGTAGCTTCTTATTGCACTTGCAATTGTTTTAGTTACTTGTGGGCTACTTAACATGAATAATCACAGTTACTATCCTTTTACTCCATCACATTTAAAAAAGAAATAGGCTATTGTTATTTTAACTCCACCACAGTAATCCATCATCAGCTTTACTTTTTAGATAAAGTTTTAACTCACAATTGATCATAACAGGCGTCAACATATACATTTTTATATATTACCAAGTGGTTTCATGTACAACCCACACAAGTATCATGCTAAATGAAGCTCTGTTTCTTGGATATCACTAGATCCTGATGTCAGCGTAATATAAAAGTACATAACGATTGATGTGTAATTTAGCATAATTTACTAGCTAGCAGCTAGCTGCTAACTGCCGCCTCGTTAATATAAATCCAGTACCATGCTGTCATGAACGCGCGGTGCTGTTACGTGTACGCAAATTCACGTGCTTAATGTGAACGAGCCTTTTGGGCGGCGTGGTTAAAGTTGCGCATGCTCTATGAGCGCACATACGGGTTCTTCTCAGGCATGCCGGGTAATCTGTGACGTTTTGCTCTCTCAAAAGTTGGGCCATTTTGTCATCATGCGCCATTGAGCAACTCTCATAGGAATTAATGAGGCCCCGCCTCCCACGCTGTATCCAGTTCTTATTATACATCCATGATTCAATCTTGCTACAGAGCGTAGGAATGGCCTGCTCTACTATTTAAAAACGGAATTGCAGTTTTATTGCTTATAGATTATCAGACATTTCAAAGGGACACAGTCACATTGGATATTAACCTATGGATGAACTACATCATTGTTTTTATCGTTTTAATGCCATTGAAGACCAGTTTTGACCAAGGTAAGCCATGTTAGCGGTTGTGGCTACCTAGCGCCAAATGTTTTGATGTACGTTTGTGTTGATAACGTCGCAAGTTTGTATCTTTCAGTGTTGAGGTGGGCACCGTTAGATTATGTGTCTTTACGATCATAAACGATGAGTAATAAGGGAGCTAGGAGTGATTTCCGGTGCAGTAATAGGTTAGCATGTTTCACTCGGGGCTAATTCAGAGGCTCACTGTTAGCATTGTGTGTCTTTTTTGGGGGAAAAAATGAAAAAGATCAGTTAAATTAGTTTTTTCCCGTTATATGGATATAACATACTCATAGTTTATTAAATATTAAGGTTCCTTAGATGTTGTTTCCTGCAAATCACGGGAGAGATGGGAGATGTAGTTCATTGAGCGGTTTCACACAAAAAAAGTGTTACTTCACAGTTTTACGACACATTTTGATTTTTTTGACTTGCAAAATTATCTTTTAAATTGACAAACATCATGTGTGTAATTCGTGGCACAATTCAAACGGGATTGAAAGATAATCTTTCTCTCTCCATTAACTTCAATACATACTTTTTCCGAAATAAGGTCCCATGGAGCTCGCCCGGAAAGGGAGGGACTTCGCCTCTCTATTAACTTATGGGCAGAACACGTGTGTGGGGCTGCATCTTATGCGCAAATTCGACACAATTATGTGTGCCACAGTTTCCCCCGCAGCGAGGCTAATTTGTTATGTTAATTTCATTCAAAACAAATATATTTAATTCCTTCACTTGCATAGTTTGTGCAAACAATTAAACCAAAGTAAAGCGTTGTTATTAATATGTATAAGCTTATAGTTTCATAGAAATGTTTATTCTTAAAGGTTAGATAGAAATTCTATAAACATCTAATCTAGCTCTTAGCAACGCAGTAACATGTCCCGCAAAAAACGTCCTATTTGTCCCACATGTGGCTTGTTGGCACCTGGTCACCCTACCTGGAGCCTCTCAAAATACATGTGCATGCGTGCATATGACTGTGTGTTTTGTATCTGTACAAATGCATGTGCTTGTATAAATTAAAAAAACTGCGGAAAAACTGAATTTGAATAAAGGTTCATTTTAAGCTTATAAATACTGAAGCAACAAAGTGACACTTCATCACACAACAATCAGTGTCATCTGTGTTGGTATCTGAATGACTTCGTCACTTAGAAACAAAGCACCCTGAGCTGCGTTGTGCCTCAGCAACATGAACTGTCCCTCCAGCAGGAGAGCCCCCCCACATGTATTCAGCACAGGAAGCACACACTATTGGCGCATTTCCATTGCAGGGCCTCGCTCGGCTTAGTACGGTATAGTTAGGCCTTGGTAGGCCAGACTCACTTTATGCTGCGTTTCCATTACAGTTTAGTAGCTGGGGCAGTAACTATAGTAACGCAGTGTAGGCGGAGCCGTGACGTCATCTTCAATGAGAACCACAGAAAAACAACATCAGCCGTTAGCTGTTAGCCCTCAGAGCTCACAGCTCCTCATATCTGTTCAGAAACTAGACGGAAGTTAAACAAGTACAAACCACAGACTGTCTGTGTCATGGCGAATACAGTCGCTGGTTTGTTTATGTCTGAGTGTTATCACGATACCAACATTTTGGTTTCGATACCGATACCAAGTTGCGATTCCGATTATTTTTCGATACTTTAAAAAAAAAATTGTTGTGCTTTATTTCACACCAGAACCACATTGGTAAGTTAGCTAAAAAAGATAGCCATAGTAGACAGTTATCATTGCCATTAATTGCCACGTCAAACTACGAAAACGTTCGTTTGTCACAAAATAAATTACACTTGTTTGACTTAGATCTGAGGGCATGGCTTGAGCATGATGTAATTATGTTATCTATCACATTCGCTAACCTGTCTGTCTTTAAATTCTTTAAACAGCTCTGGATGCCGGTCGGCGAGGTGCTTAGCCAAATCTGATGTGTTGGCTCCCTTGGTTTGCAGGGATCTAAAACATGTCTTACAGACAGGCCTCGTGGTGTCCGTAGGCTTGCCCTCACTGTCAGAGATATAGCTCAAATACTTTCGCTTCTGGCGTCTTTTTTGTCAACAAGCCGAGGCGCAGCGGCAGCTGCACTCCCACTTGCAGCCATGCTTCTCGTTTTCTCACATGCTCTGGCAGCTAGCGCGTGCACGAGAGAGGGGAGGCACTTAGAGCGTGCTTGAGAGAGGGGAGGCACTTAGAGCGTGCTTGAGAGAGGGGAGGGACTTAGAACGTGCTTGAGAGGGGCGGGACTGCAGGCACGGCTGCAGAGCAGGGAGTGGAAGCAGAGCGCTGAACACACATGGCTCTTATTAAACCAGCGCTTTCTCACCGGAGTACTTTTCCCCGTCATTCTTAAAGTACCGATACTAATGAAACGGAGGAATCGTAACGTTTTTAACGGCAGGGTATCGCGGTACCTTTCAAGTATCGGTACACCGTGCAATACTAGTCTGTATAGGCCGTTGTTGTGAGTGTGGACGGTCGGAGCATATACTGCGTTAGCTTAGCTTCATTTTGAAACGTGTAAATTAAATCACGGTCAAATGAGGAAAAAAGGTGTGTGGAGTTATACAATAAATACACAACTTCTAAATCCTCTGTTATGCGCGATATCGGACAAAGGAGACCGAGGCGGGAGGACCCCCTGCGTCGCCATTGAAGAGGAGGAGCCAAATTGATATATATAGATAGGTGACGGAGCTTTGTTCGCTGTCTTTCCACGGCCGCGACTGCGAGACAACAGCTGCAGCTGTTTTGTCCCACTACCTTTTGTTTGTTTCATTACCACGCTATTTAATTAAAGTAACCAATTTGAACCTTTTCAGACACTCCATTAGTCTCCTTATTTTAAGCTTCTCTCCTGGACGCGAGAACAACAAATACATCTAACACTGCACATCAATAATCAGCTGACAGGAAGATGATCACTCATTTAACACTGTTTACAAATAATCCAAATGAATATGTATCTACATCAGCTTCACTGAGCTAATTTCGTGTCACATGACTCGGTCTGATGACTGTTTTCATTACTTTTCAGAAATATGCCTGTAAACCAGTTTCAAGATAAAACATGAGGACGGACATCTGAGATGAGGCTGTGTGCGCAGGGGAAGTGGCGAGTGCTTTTCTGGTGGAAGGTCTGGCTTGATATATTTGGAAAATACCTTTTAATTATTAAAAAGTAAAATATAAAGGCAAAGCAAACAAAATCTTACCTTTTTCTTCCTTTTCCTCCTTGAAAACTGAAATCAAAACATAAATAAATTAGAACTCATAAAAATAAGACAAGCAAAACAAATGTCCAAAAAAACGGAAAGCCAAATATATTCTGTAATAAATATGGGCATTAAATCGAAAATGTTTTTTTTTTTAGGGGGGGAGCTCAGACATGTCAGCAGGCACAGACTGAATGGTGATTACTATAGCATTTAGTGTTAGCCCTTCTTTAAGTAATACTGTTTTATTTAGTTTAATTGTATTTCAGAATGCATGGTTGGTATAGTGTTTCCAACCACTGCTGGTGCGCTGGCAAAGCAAACTTTTAAAGCAGGGGTGTCAAACTCAAGGCCCGGGGGCTAAATCCGGCCCAATCGAGCCGGTTTCCCAATACAATTGTGCAAGTTAATAAAATAAAATATAATATAATAGAAATAGTGCAGAATAGTCTACAAGTAATTTGAATATTGATATATATAAGTTTATAAACAGATTAATGTTATGGATGTTCTTTCAAAAGTTTTGATGTAATTGTTGAATATTTGCTTTCAATTATTTGCCCTAGACTTCTGCTTTCAGACGTAGTTATTTATGAAGTTATTACCAGGACTGATAATAATCCAATGCAGAGCCAATAATATAATATAATACATTATTTAATATTTATATTTATAGAGTCTTAAAGTTGCAACTGGCCCTTTGAGTGCAACCATAATGCTAATGTGGCCCGCGATGAAATTGAGTTTGACACTCCTGGTTTAAAGGTTCCACATAAACACCTGTTAGATTCATCAAAACAAATGGTGTTATTGAAAATGTAACAACTGAAACAGTGGTTTCAACGAGAAGTAAAAAAAGGAATTGAACATTCAAGTGCTGTGAGTAACAGCCGATCTCCACAAACACTGCTGTGATGGGAATGATTCATATGAATACCAACTCTTAGTGGTAATCTTAGACTCCAGAGGATCCTTAAATAACTTTATTTTTGCATGTTTTGCTTGAACATCATGCTCCCTTCCAGCTGTGCTTTAATCAGATTCAATATATTTCTTATCTGTTTATTTATAAAACCATACAACTGCTAATTCCTTCTTTCTGTGCAGATGCTTTGTTACAGTCCATATCATTGTGTTGATGCTTTCACTTGAATCGTTGATGTTTTATCTTATCTTTTGGCAAACTTTCAGTGATTACAGGAGCAACTAAATCTAAGTTAAAATTAAGTTGTGTTAGACTAATGGTCTCTCATTGTTCTCAAGTGACGAGTGATGCATTAACTGACCGGAGGAAACGTTGATGGTAAGGGTGTCGTCTCCCAGCCGGTTGCTGACGCTGCAGGTGACGGTCAGATTCAGCTTGGGGATGACACTGATTTTATGGGTGGCCTTGCCGTTGATGTAAGAGCTCTCTTCCTGAAGGCACAGCAAAAAACAAGTACAAGGATAAGAGACTATTGTATACTACCCTGTATAGGGTGCTGGGTGTGTCACTCAAGCGTCCCCCGTCTCTCTGCCAATCACAGAGCTGGTCGGTGTGCGGGCCTGTGGTTGGGGGAGCAGAGGGGGAGGGCTGGGAAGTTGTGACGTTGACCCTGCTTGTGTGTGTGAGTTAGGGAGTGGAGTACGGAGTGATGATGAACATGCGACCTGTAACCTCTAGCCTGTACCTGTATGCGATCAAAGGAGTTATTAAACCCAATAAATGTTTCCTGTTTCCGACTCCTATTGTCGAAATTCACACTATAAACATATTCTGAGAAAAAAAATCTCACACAGCCTCTTTAGCTGTAGCCTACAATAGGTTGTCTATTCACACACGTACACAGAAATGTAAATGTGAATGCAGATCATGAGAGGAAAGTACTGCAAATGTCACAATAGCCGCTTTCACACCAAGTACTTTGCCGTACTTAGTTCCCATCACTTAGTACTTCCCAGCACCATGGAACTAAGAGCCGATCGCGTTCACACCGGAATAAATTCCCTGAGGGAAGATTAGGCAAATGAAGCCGCTGACGTCACTTCTTCTGCTTTGGGTTTGCTGCTGACACACACACACACACACACACACACACACACACACACACACACACACACACACACACACACACACACACACACACACACACACACACACACACACACACACACACACACACACACACACACACACACACACACACACACACACACACACACACACACACAATGGCCCAACTTTTGAGAGAGCGAAACGTCACAGATTACCCGTCATGCCTGGCTGTCAGAGCAGAAGAACCCGTACGTGCGCTCACAGAGCATGCGCCCCTTAAGCCCCGTCCCCCGAGCACACACTCTCGGCTATAGAGAGAATGGAGAAAGAAAATAAATCTAGATTCGGCTTTTAGTGCATTTTACAACTTTAAGGACCAAATGTTTCTAATAAGGGCTATAACATAGTTCATACTGGGTAGTTTATTTAGTTTAAAAAAAAGTATCCACCGAGTTACAGACGTCTCTTTCCCAATGTTAGACAATGGGAAAAAGTATTTCTGGGCCGGTCGACGTCACAGACTGATAAGGAAATTGTAGTACCACCGTTTGGACACAACGAATATTTTCCTCAGAGTCTGGCGCACTTCCTGGGGGCTTGGTCTTGAGGTGGAAAATGCTCGTTGCCAATAGTGCAATAAGAATTTAGCATGTAAGGGCGGTAGCACGAGCTATTTGTCTAAACATTTAGCAAAAGTGCACCACATTCAGACGGAGGAAAGCACCGGGTTCGACTGTCTTTCTAGTAGCTCTGTAGCCCCATCCACGAGTAACGTTTCCACGTCAGGTATATATTATGTATGCTAGCAGCAACACACGGAGTTAACTCAATGATACAAACATGGGTTAATGATTAGAGGTAACTGAGTTATTTATTTTGTTAAAGTTACAGCTATTCTGTTTGCAGTTCTATCATCACATAATTGAATAAGATTTGTTAAAACATTGTTGTTTCTTATTTTCAGTTTGCTTCAAGCAGTGGCTGCACGAGAAAGACGTGGAGGACCAAGAAATGCTGGCCAGATTGGCAAAGACCGGAAGATACATCACAGAGAAGATAATGGGTATTAACAAGAAAAATTAAAAAAATGTTTATAATTTCTTTGTTGCTGTTTACATTTTGAATTATATTTGTTATTTTTAAATCAAATGCATCTTTTTTAGATGATATATTTATTTAGATGTAGGTTTTTTTTGTAATATTATTGTATTAAGTATAATTTATTAAATAAAAATACTGTTATGAACACTATACAATGTCTTTATTTTGATAGTTACCAGAATACATTGTATATTTAATACTAACATAAGCTGGTGATAGATAAATGCTGGTCTGCTGGTATGCCAGCAGACCAGCATATGTTGTGTTTTGGTCACCAGCATGATCCACCAGCATGGACCTGCATGATCCAAAACCAGTGGCGAGCCGTGACTTTTATACCTAGGCCCTCTGACCCCCCTTCCCTCGAGAAAAAAAAGAAGAGATATTACTCTTTAAACATTAACGGTGCTCGAGGGGATGCTAAGAGAGCATCTTTATTTACTTTATTAGGAAACAAGAGTTTAAATGTAACGTTTCTCCAGGAAACTCACAGTACTGCTGAGAACGAGAGTGACTGGAGGAGGGAATCGGGGGGGGAGGGCTTCTTCAGCCATAAGCGCAGCAATAGTGGAGGGGTTGCCATTCTCTTTGCGAGGGGCTTTACACCCTTCTCCTGTACGGTCGATGAGGTCATCAGGACACTTGCTCAAAATAAATGCTGAATTTGAAAAAGTTAAAATATGTTGTATAAATATTTATGCTCCCAGTGTGGGCGCAGAGAGGCTTTTGTTTTTTGAGAAACTGAAACACACTCTTAGCACCTGTGATAGTGGGGAGTATCTGTTCCTGGGGGGTGACTTCAACAGAGAACCCTGTGCTGGATAGGAACCACCAGGAACCGCATGCTGCCTCGAAGAGTGCCTTAATAAGACTAACAGAAAGCTTTGAGCTGTGTGATGTTTGGAGGCACTTCCACCCGGGCCAGCGGCAGTACACGTGGGTGCACTCTAGGGATAACCTGTTGTCTCTGGCTAGGCTGGATCGTGTCTATGTTTTTAACCATCACATTCATGTGAGCAGAAGCTGCTCCATCAGTCCAGTGGGAATCTCTGACCATTCCCTCGTACAAGTCTCACTTTTTATTAATCATGTTAAGTGTAATAGTTGTATTGGCACTTTAATGCTTCTCTGTTGGCCGGCAACCATTTAAAAAATGTTTTTACATTATTTTGGGAAAACTACCGTTTGTCTAAGAGTGAGTACAATTCTCTTCAGCAGTGGTGGGATGTAGGTAAAGTGAAGATCAAGCAGCTTTGCCAACAGTACACTTTCAATGTCACAAAGGACATGGCTAGATCTCTGAGAGCTCTGGAGAGAGAAGTGGTGGAGCTGCAGGGATTGGCAGACTCCACAGGAGAGCGAGAACATGTTGAAGTTTTCAAAAGTAAAAGCTCAGCTCTGTCGGACCTGCTGGGTTTTCTGCTCAGGGTGCTCTGCTCAGATCCCGGTTTCAGAACATCGTGAAAATGGATGCTCCCTCTCACTTTTTCTTTGGTCTGGAGCGTAAGAATGGTCAGAGGAGACTGATGCACTCGATCCAATGCTGGGCAGCTGCTTCAGGAGTCCGCCGACATTCGTCAGTGTGCTGTGGAGTTCTACAAAGAGCTCTACAGAACAGAGTTCCAGGCCGAGCCAGAGGTGGCGCAGTCGTTTTATGAGGGCCTTCCTAACGTCCCTGAGGAGGACCATGCTGAGCTGGAGGCGGAGCACTCTGCCCAGGAGCTGCAGGAGGCCCTGCAGAGCATGCAGAGTGGGAAGGCTCCTGGCATAGACGGCCTGCCTGCAGACTTCTATAAGGCTCTCTGGCCAGTTATAGGCAGTGTTGTGCTAGTTACTGAAAACCAGTAACTATTTACCATTACTAGTTACTTCATTTCAAAAATAACTCAGTTACTTTACTGATGACTTACACCAAAAAGTAATGCGTTACTGTGAAAAGTAATGTTTTAGTTACTTAAAAATTTTTCTCCCATTAATGCCCTTATAGCCTTCATTTCAGTACTGTTATTGCATTGGAGAATAATACAATCTGTTGATCAACTTGACATGCATTATATGCAATCTGGATTGCATCGATATTAGCTGGCTTTCCATTTTTGTATATTCTTTCTCCAGGTAGTTGGAAAAAGTTTTCCGTCCCATATGCCGTGTGCCGCCCGGACATGCTATCATGCTAACTAGCTCCCTGAAAGCGGGTGACTCCACTGTAGCAATAGCCTGCATGTGTTCTACAACATATCGTGCAATGGCTTTATCGACTTTTCCCTGGCCAGCAGTCCCTCGGTTAAAATCCAGCCGCTGTTGCTTACGTAGGTGGAGGTGGAGTGGCATTGGCTGAGTCTGGGTCTGTGCCGGTCTTAGTTACTAGCTTCGTCCCAGCATGTTGTTTTTGCAGATGTTTTAAGAGATTTGAATTACTGGTTTGGGCAGTAACGGAGTAACGCACCATGTAGTAACGGTAAATGAGTTACTGAATTTAAAAAGTAATGCGTTAGAGTACTAGTTACTGCCAAAAATAACGGCGTTACAGTATCGCGTTACTTTGCAACGCGTTAGTCCCAACACTGGTTATAGGGGACGACCTGCTGAGTGTGCTCAGAGACAGTCTAAGTAACGGGAGGTTGCCTCTGAGTTGCAGGAGAGCTGTGCTCACTCTCCTCCCTAAGAAAGGAGACCTGCAGGAGATTAAGAACTGGCGTCCTGTGTCTCTACTCTGTACCGACTACAAGCTGCTTTCCAAAGTGTTAGCGACGAGGCTGAGGAAAGTGATGGAGCATGTCGTTCACGTAGACCAGACATACTGTGTACCCAGCAGGTTGATAACTGACAACGTGACTCTGACTCCAGATGTTCTGGACCTCTCCGGTTCATTGGGCTGTGAGCTTGGTCTGATTTCTCTAGACCAGGAAAAGGCTTTTGACCGAGTTGAACACCAGTACTTGTGGCAGACGCTGGAAGCTTTTGGGTTCAGCTCTGGTCTCATAGCCAAGATCCAGGTCTCGTACAGGGACATTGAGAGTGTACTGAAGATAAACGGTAGTTTGTGTGCTCCTTTTGAAGCTCAGAGAGGAGTCCGACAGGGCTGCTCTTTGTCCGGGATGCTCTACTCCCTGGCCATAGAGCCCTTTTTACACCGGGTCAAAGTTACAGGGTTTCTTCCTGGCTGTAGGGATGTTTTTAAATTGTCTGCGTATGCGGATGACATAATGGTCTTTGTTAAAAAACAAGATGACATCAATGTTTTAACTGAAACTGTGAGCAACTTTTGCAAAATCTCATCTGCTCGAGTCAACTGGGGGAAAAGTGAGGCCTTAGCAGTAGGAGAGGGCAGCATTGACAGCTTGTTGTTACCTGGGGGCCTTGGTTGGAGAAGGGCAGGGTTAAAGTAGAGACACATTTTGTTTGAAGAACTGGGACGGGCTTATAGAGAAAGTGGAAGGCCGGTTAAAGAAGTGGAAGTGGATCCTTCCCAAACATTCTTTTAAAGGGCGTATCCTTATTTTAAACAACCTTGTTTCCTCCATGCTGGCTCACCGGCTGGCATGCACCGACCCACCCGTAAACCTGCTGTCCAGGGTGCAGGCTCTCATGGTGGACTTCTTCTGGGACCGCATGCACTGAGTCCCTCAGAGCGTCCTGTTCCTGCCAAAGGAGGAGGGGGGACATGGCCTGGTTCACCTGGCAAGCAGAGGGGCGGCCTTCAGGCTCCGGTTCGTCCAGAGGTTCCTGACTGGACCTGCTGACCTGGTCTGGAGACCCGTAGCTCGGGCCTTATTGGAGCGCTGTGGTGGGCTGGGTTTGGCTGAGTCGCTGTTCCTGATGGACCTGAAAGGATTACGCCTGAACAATCTCTCAGGGTTCTATGGAGGTCTCTTCAAGGTGTGGGGACTACTAAAAAAAGAGAGACCAGAGTGCTGTGGCTCACTGTTCTGGCTCCTCAGAGAGCCAGTGGTCTGTGGATCTCGGTTTGTGTGTGGAGTAGGGCCTTCTCTACAACAGAGACTCTGTGAGGAGAGGATCCTCATGCTGGGCCAGGTGGTGGAGGTGTGTGGCCCCCGTCTGGACAACGCTGCAGGCCTGGCCTCACGTCTGAGCCTCAGGTCAGTCCGGGTGGTGTTAGAAATTAAAATCAATGTTTTATGGCATAATGTACCTAAAACATACCGTCAGTTTAAATGCTATTTTATTCTGGAAAAAAACGGAAGTTCTCAATACCAAGCTTTTATTCTGAAAATCCTTCATGACGACATCCGGGTCTACCGCCCATTAGTATCATTAAAGTGGCTATTGACGCCGTTAACATGTATTACATATAAAGTTATGAAAGAGATAAGGAGGAGAAAAGGCATGTGGAAGTAAGCAATGAATGTAAAATGTAGAAATCCTCTGTTTAACGCGATATCGGACACAGAAGAACGAGGGGGGGAAGTCTCCTACGTCACTACAGTTCACAGAGAGGAGGAGCGAACAGCCAGCAAGCGGGAAAGACGAAGCCTTGTGAGCTCTCTTCGGCACGGCCAGCACCTGGGAGAGGAAGCTGCAGACTTTCTCTCCTGACTGAACAATATCCTGTTTGTAACATTACCGCGCTTTATTTTTAATTAAAGTACCAATTTGAACCTTCTCAGAGACTCCATTTAGTCTCCTTTTTAAGCTTCTCTCCTGGACGCGAGAAAAACGATCACGGTTTACAGTGGTCAGCCTCATGCTGCAGAGCTGGAAGCAGCAGCTCAGCCAGTCAGAGCTGGAGACAGCAGCTCAGCCAGAGCAGGAAGCAGCAGCTCAGCCAGTCAGAGCTGGAGACAGCAGCTCAGCCAGAGCAGGAAGCAGCAGCTCAGCCAGTCAGAGCTGGAGACAGCAGCTCAGCCAGAGCTGGAAGCAGCAGCTCAGCCAGTCAGAGCTGGAGACAGCAGCTCAGCCAGAGCAGGAAGCAGCAGCTCAGCCAGTCAGAGCTGGAGACAGCAGCTCAGCCAGAGCTGGAAGCAGCAGCTCAGCCAGTCAGAGCTGGCGCTGATCGCTGCTCACTGTAACGGACTGAAGTCTCCAAATGACAATGACTCTTTTCCAGAGATGCAATGTTTTCCTGATCTCAGTTGTGAGGGTTTTTTGTTAAAGTTGGACAATGTTACTGATTTTAAGTTTAGCACCATGTCCAACAAAACATTTTATTATTTAGTGACAAAGGTGCTGAATCAGAGCAGACTCCAGGAGCGAGTGGACACCCGGTGGAGAGCCCACCTGGGCCTGCCGGAGGCTCAGAGGCCTGAGTGGAGAGCGCTCTACAGCCTCCGCTGACTAAGAGGGGTGGGGACCTCCAGTGGAGGGCTCTCCACGCTGCGGTAGCTGTTAATGCGTTTGTTTCAGTGATCAACCCTACAGTGTCTGACGCCTGTCCTTTCTGTGAACAGAGGGAAACCATTTTTCATTGCTTTACGGAATGTGGTCGACTCCTTTGTCTTTTTCAGTTACTCACTCAGATGTTGATTTTGTTTAATGTGGTTTTTTCTAAGTCAATGTTCATTTTGGGTTGGAGGTACAGCCAGAAGCAAAAGTGCAGAAGTCAGCTTTTGAATGTTTTGTTGGGGCAGGCTAAAATGGCCATCTACCTCAGCAGGAGGAATAAAGTTGCGGACTCTTTGGAAACCGATGCAGTTTCGATTTTCAAGCGGATGGTTAAAGCAAGACTGAAAGCGGACTACGGTTACTTTTGCTTAACAAAAAATGTGGGACGAATTTGAGGCCATTGTGGTTATAAAATGGTGTTCTGTGGAGAACGAGGATCTTATTTTCAGTCGTTGTCTGAACTGACAATGTGAATAAAAATAGTTTGAAAATCCTCTCTCTGTCTAATCTCGCTCTATCTCTTCTCTCTCTCATCTACTCTCGACTCTCATCTCATACTCTCTCTCTCTCTCTATTACTCTTCTCATCTGCTCTTCTCTCTCTCTCTCTCTCTCTCTCTCTCTCTCTCTCTCTCTCTCTCTCTCTCTCTCTCTCTCTCTCTCTCTCTCTCTCTCTGAAACAGCTACTAATCTCCGTTAGCTCCGAGCTAGCACCAGATGCTAACAACAACCCATGTAACTCTCTCAGTCCCTCTAAGTCCGACAGGAAAGAGCTCTCCCTCTCCTTATTGTTGAAACAGCTACAAATCTCCGTTAGCTCCGAGCTAGCACCAAATGCTAACAACAACAACCCCTGTAACTCTCTATGTCTCTCTCTCTCTCTCTCTCTCACAAGATGCGCTCGTGCCACACACACAAAGACGCTCCTCCGTGAAAAGTGGGGGGGGGACACAAATGGGATTTTGAAAAGTGGGGGGGACATGTCCCTGTCCCCAGTGGAAATTACGCCCATGGTCGTGTATATGTTATGACAATGAACCTTTGAATCTTGAAAGAGAAATCGAATCTGAATCATTCACATTGTTGTTATTTTCTCTACACACTGTGAAGACCCTGGGACAAATGGGTAATTTTGATATTGGTTCATTCACACCAGGGTTCGAGTTATAATCTGAGCTTTATGGAGGTCTTTAAAACTAACGCATGCAAACACGCACGCACACAGGTTCAACTACGCACACCACATAACACATCATCTCGGCGCAGCACGCTAACAGGCATAGATTGCGTAATAATTTATTGTGCACCTTGGAGGTGAAGTACAGGCATATTGTCATTCAAGAGAGAATACGATGCGTAGTTCTTTTGGAAAACATATTTTTCTTTTTGCCTATTTACCTCGTTAACGTAAATAACTCATTACATTGACACATGCATTATTTGTGATTAAAACAGATGTATTATTTCACTGCTTTCATGGGAGCTCAGCTCCCATTGGCTCCCACATAACTTGAACCCTGATTCACACACACACTTACGTTCGTACTGTTGACGCTCCAGTGGAAGCTGGGTTCTGGAACTCCCGTTGCCTCGCAGGTCAGAACTTTGTAGCTGGCGCCATCAGGGCGGTGTTTGTTCAGGCCCGTGATTTCTGGCTTTCCTGTTAACAACAAAGTTTAGATGGGTGACGGGATTTACACTAGTTGGAACAATTTAATGATTTCCAGTACTTTCCAGAAAAATGATTTAGAAGCTGGGTGTGCTTATGGGTTTCAATTATTGAAAGCACCTCAGTCCTGAGAGAAAGATGCACTGCAGAGTAGAGATACAGTATTCTAGTAATACCAAATAACTGAATTCCCATCCTGACAGATTTCTTTCTCTTAAGAAAATTGGATTGTGTGACTTAACATAAGAGTATATACATGTAAATGTATTTAAATGTTCCACTCAGGTGTGGAGTGTGACACAGACACCAAAACTCACCTTCTACCATCAGCTCAACGCTGCGGTGCCGCGTGAGGCCGGGCATGGAGAGCTCACACACATATACTCCTGCATCAGCGTACGTCAGCCAGCTGAACTCCGGCTGCCTCACTTCCTGTCCATTCTGAAAACAGAGTCTCTGTGTCAATAGGGGCTTTCTAAAGCAACGTGTACCCTAATGTTTCTCTGATATAAAGGCCACAGTGTCTTCAATTTCTGCCCTCTAACCCAGTATGTGGATGAATATTATATTTCCTTTATTCAAGAAGTTGTTATTTCAATAGAAATATAGTAACCACAATGCATGTGTGACATTATTTTATAGTCTATTAAATAGACCCCATACATCATTAACCAAACCCCAGCAGCATTACCTTAGTCCACAACACTTGAGCCACATCCGAGGAGCTCTGCTCCACCTTCACAGAAAAGCTGTCCCCTATTGCCTTCCGCACGGTCCCAGAGGGGGTCAGACTCAGGTCCAGGTCTGAGAGGACAGGAGGAGGACATGTCTGTTGAGTTATGCTGCCTCTTATCACCAGGTCCACTTACAGACACCATTTTACTTCTGACATTTCATTTTTATGTCAACCTTCTAAAGAGTTTTGTTTTTTGTCGAGAAATGTCATATGAACACCCAGATCAACAAATAATTGTACCACTAACAAGTATTGTGTCCTACAAAGTTGGATATAACTTCCTTGAGTGGCAGAGCTCCATCAGTGTGAGAAACGTTGCTACAGTGAAGCTTTTTTACCAAATGCTTGAAATATACTATTGACATCAGTCATGTGAATTTAGTGTATATCCAATAAGTGTTTAACTATGATCATGAAATAATAATAATAATCACTTAAAGAGATGCTAAAAAAGAACACCGTGTTTTGTCCTCGTCACAAAGTGATCTGAAAAGTTGGGGGGGCTATAAAACACTTCTTTGTTTTAGATCCTCCTCACATTTGACTCACTCTCTGTCAGAATGTTCTAATGAGTTCTGCTCCCTCACCCATCTGCCTTCCTGCCAAGCTGCACTCTCAGGGTATAAATTAGATTATAATTACTCTGCTCCCATGACTTTATTAACAGTGAATACAATTGCCTGATCATAGGAAGTAAGAAAGTGCATTCAAGGAGGAAAGAGCTGGGGCTGGGGGGTTGGAGGATTTGTCTGCTTTGTGGTGCAGCATGCTGAAGCTCATAGTACACACAGCTAACAACAATGGTTTGGGAGGACTCCATTTTCTCGTTGTCAGCCAGGGAGCATTTGTATTCCCCCCCAGTCTCTCTGCTGATGGACGTCAGCGTGTAGGTGTCCGAATTTTCCACCAGCGCTTTCTGGCCCTGGTGGAGAGAGAAGAGGGGTAAAGGACAACGTTAGATTCTGCTGTAGTGAAAGAATATCAGAAAGAAAGAAGGCAGGAAGGAGGGGGACTTTTACATCTAAAGCAATAACTCCTAATTAGGAAAGTGCAATCATTACATTTGCATTTGAACAGTTTTATCAAAGTGTTCATTTCCAATAGTATCTTTTTCTAAGATTGTGATGATTACAAAGGAGTAGAACTCAAATATACTGTAGGTTCAGTGGTAATGAGTGGCTGTAAGTCCAGAGTGTCCTGGGGACAGGTTTTAGCATGACTGACCTTCATATGGAAGAAGAAGGAGCTGGGGGGGGGGTTTCCATCAGCGTGACACTGCAACGTGACGTTATCTCCTTCTACGACCGGCGTCTTGGACAGAACTTGGAGGCTAACCTTCTCTGATGGATCTAAGAGGTTCAGAGGGTGAGAACGGGAAAAAGTGAATGTAGAGAAAATAAAAGATGCTTGACATTGACAAAGAAAATCTCCCTCAAACTGGATCAACTCAACAATCCAGATAAATGCAACAGACAAAAACATCTTGATCACATTTCTAAAGGTGCCCGCATCAGCCTTTGATCAACAAAGTGTGTAGACCACCCTACACAGAAATAAATTGGAAATCAGTCGCCTTACTGGCTCTCAAAGTAGAATGTAACCCACTGTAAAAGGACCGGGCGACTAAGAGAAAACTGGTGGTCAAACACAGAGTCAGTGTTCTGGTCAAAAAGGGCTTTAATTACCAAAACTCAAAATCAATTTAGAAAAACTTAGTGTAGCACCACAGATGAAGATGCCTCTGACTACCCCTCTTCTCAGATCCTGACACCAACTTGCTCCTGCCAAGGCCTTCCAAGATCAAAGGGCTCCGATTTACTCAACAAGACTCCATCTGCTCTGCACAGCCAGAGACGAGACAGTTTCACAGTTTGGTGATCAACTGCCTCACACAACAAGTTCTTCAATCCTGCACATTTATTTGCAGCTATCGCAAGCTAGCACTGGAGCTCTATCACGTCTGGAAAAGTCTTACACACCAACACAGTGTGCTTGTAACATCTGAGGTATATGAGATAGAATCAGGCAAAGTGTCCTCTATATGTTTTGTTTGTGAATACAAAAAGTTGATTCTGGATTTGATGTCAGAAAAGATTGTAGGAGTTCTTTGTTCAAAATGATTTTACTGTTACTCTGGATGATGGTCTCTGAGGTGAATAAGAAGAGTTTCAGAGCTTTATTTCCCCTTTCATTATACATATATTTGATCAAATCTAAAATAAATATCATGAGTATACCAAAAGGCCCTTTTGTTCCAGGCAGTGGCAAACTGTTACTGCACTTAATATCTCACACTGGTCATATCCTTCTAAAATGAGTGCTGGACATGGCCTATCAGACACTCCATGGAGCAGATTGCATTCAATTCATCATGTCAGTCATTTAACACAATGCGTTTAACTACAGTTCTCAAATGTGGTACATGTGGTACTGTATTGCACTTACAGTGAATGGGAAAGGGTTCCAGCTCAGCCTCCTGATTGGTCAGCTGGTGTGTGGACATGCAAGAGAAGACAGAGACATTGTCCTCTTTGGAAGCTGCATACTGGAGGGTGGAGGAGGTGGTGGAGAGGCCTGAAGCTGGATCCAGCTTCATGCTGGGAGTGATCAGAACGGCTACACACACACACACACACACACACACACACACACACACACACACACACACACACACACACACACACACACACACACACACACACACACACACACACACACACACACACACACACACACACACACACACACACACACACACACACACACACACAATAAAGGTTTAGCATTTAGCGTCAGGTTCATTGGCTGCTCCTAAATATATAGTGACGTACATACACTGAATTCTGAAGACATGCCTACAGGAGTTAAGTATTTTGCCCATGATTTTCAACATGGTGACAGCAGAGGGTGGGGTCAAACTGCCCCCCTGACTGTCTGACCTAAAAATTGGTCCCACACAAATGTTTATTATTGCATCCTTCAGTGACAAGTAAGGAAGCTGTGTCTGTTATCTACTGGTAAAACCATTGTCTTTCTGACTAAACATAAACAACTAAACATTATGATTTTACGTTTGGCATCTTGTTTTGTGTGACTTACTTTTCCCATCGGCTACCAAGGGCTTTCCGTTCTTTTTCCACGTGATTGTAGCTGCAGGGTTTGCATCTGCTGCAACACATGTTCCCACCTGAACAAAACAATAAGATATAAAGTAATAAAGTAAGTATATTTAAATGGATTTTCATCATATATAGTAAATGCTAAGAAGCAGATGCCAGAGGACTTGAAAGTTACTTGTAAGTGTTATATATTACAGTTTTTTTACAGACATTTATAAAAACAACAATGGATATATAGACAGCAGCAGGAGGAAGAGGGACGATGAGAGAGAGGGAGGATGAAGAGTTATTTGCAGCATAACGGTTGGAGCTGTGTGAGCGTCAGGCTGCAGGTGATGCTTCTTCTGCAGGATGATGAGGGGCTGTGGTCAGACCCAGTGAGGTGGTCAAATGCTGCCTGAGTATTTTTCTCTACTCTGTTTTCCTTTCACTTTACTGTATTTGACAAAGGCATCATTTGTGTTTACACAACTGTAACTATTTGTTGTGCAGCAAAGTTGCACCAATTTATTTTGGAGAAAAACTCAAGTATAACAACTGTATATTTGTGTTTGTGAACATATTTTTGTAGACTTGAACAATCTTTATATGCAGAATTCTCTACATACAGAACGCCATAAAAGTAAGTGTGCTTTAGATAGAGCACCACAGTGTGTAGTTGGTTGGACAAAGTGTCTTGTACTATGAATGAAGTGTGTGCCAAGTGTTTATGTCATTTTTGGGTGCAGTGCTTCATTTTGAAAGAAAAATGAGGTGTTTTGCACTTTGTGTTTGTGGTTTTGTGAATTGTGTTAAGTGTTTTGACAAAATAAGCCCTGTTGTCAAAAATGTGTTTGAGCAATTGAAAAAAACTGTATTCTCCCTCTCCCTCCTGCTGCTGTCCATATATCCATTGTTGTTGTAAAAAGTTCTTTCATGAAGCCTTTTTCTAGTGCTTACATCCTGATTGATGAGTCATCAATAAAGCAGTTTGTTGTTTATGGTCATTTGGCATTGGTTCATGTGTGTAGCATTTTTAATGGCAGTGTTTTGAAAATGGCAAAACAGTGAATATGTCAGATTTCTGTGTCTTACTTAGAGAACCGTGTGCAGTGTTTTGCAAAAAGTGCCAAGTTGAATTGCAAATTAGGTGCAGAGCTGAAAATGTGTTTAGAGTTTAGGAGATTTGAGCAGAGGTTTTGCTCTTTGAGTGTGAGTTTAAATAATTATGCTTTATGTGAGATTTGTGTGTGTTAGCAACTGAAAAAAACTAAGCAATTGAAAAAAACTGTAATCTAAAAGCCATTTCAGTGAAGCCCCAAAGTATCTGTCCTATGGTTGTATAATGATATCTCTGCTGTCCAACATTAGCAGGGAAATGTTGGACAGAGGCCAGGACAGACAAACAACCTTCTCCTTTAGGAATGAATTCCTTTTTGTGTTCCAAAGCAAACTGTCTCGCTAACTTGTTGCTACATCCTCAGGCCTGAGATCAGCAACGGTGGCAGAAATATGCAGAGTGTGAACACAACGAAGACTTAACACATTCCTTTTCATATCCTGTACCAGTCTGCACCTCTTAACCAACAAACTTTACATTGACTCGACTTGTCAGGACATACAAGGGACAACTGTGGTGTGTCTTTTTACCCAAGAAAGAGAAACATCCAGAATCAATGAATACACCTTTTATTTATTGTTCAAGTTGAACTGATCAACATGAGATGTGGCCTCCTTCACTGGGAACATGTTGTCTTATGGCGCATTTCCACTGCAGGACCTAGCCCGGCTTGGTTAGGCCCGGCTCACTTTATGCTGCGTTTCCATTACAGTTTAGGAACTGGGGTAGTAACTATAGTAACGCAAGTATTACTTGGCGCCACCCTGAGTGACAGCCTGTTTGAGCAGCTCTCCTTTGTTTCTACTTTTTCTTGTCTTTTTCTCCTTTTTTCCCCACTACTCTACTACTTTTTAGTGGACTTAGTTTAACTCTAAATGTTGGGACACTGTTCTCAACTTGTATATATTATTGGTAAGATTTCTATCTGTTTTTTTGCATGACATTCGAACGGTGTTCCGGATTAACTGGTTTCCCAATCAACTGGTTTACAGAGGTGGCCTTCGACTGAAATACACATTTCGATCGCTTCTTCTGTCGTTTACATACATCTTTTGGTATATTGGGCTCGGTAGGAAGACTTTGATGCACATTCAGTACCAGTGTGTGAGGTTGTGGTTACGATGGCGATATCCGGACGCGAACAGCGAGGACTACAAAAAGAAAAACGAGTTGACTGGGGATGTCTGTTCAAAACATTGCGAGCTCCAATAAATCATTTAAACCAGCTATTGTTGCCAGACTTATTACTGAATATCGTTCTTAATGTGATACTAAGTCCATCTGAGTCCTGTGTCCACCTTCAGACAGCCTCCAAGTGAAGCGTGCATTGTTTACTCACAGTTTGAAAGCAGCGTGGAGAAGTCTTCAGCTGTGGTAAACTGTGACCCTTTTTCAAAATACGACTATTGGCTAAGACCAAGTCGTTTTTATCTTTTAAAGACCTAGAAAGGGTTATTAACGCCTTTGTTACCTCGAGACTGGATTACTGCAATGCTCTGTATGTGGGTATGGATCAGGCCTCAATTAGACGCCTCCAGCTAGTTCAGAATGCAGCTCCACGTCTTCTCACTGGCCATAAAAAGCGTGACCATATCACCCCAATTCTGGCCTCACTGCACTGGCTTCCAGTTCGGTTCAGAATAGATTTTAAACTCCTTTTATTTGTTTTGAATGCCCTAAATGGGCTGGCTCCTGTCTATATAGCCGAAACTCCTCCATCGCTACACCCCAGGCAGAGCCTTAAGGTCAGCTGATCATCTGTTGTTGATAGTGCCTAAGACCAGGTTTAAAACCCGAGGGCATCGAGCATTTCACAGCGGCTGGCCCTAGGCTCTGGAATACTTTGCCCCTCCATGTGAGGTCGGCCCAGACCCTGGGGGTTTTTAAATCAACACTTAAAACTCACTTTTTCTCTCTGGCTTTTGTTTAATTATTTATTTATTTAGTTATCCACAGAATTGATACTATTTTTAATATTATTAAATGTTATTAATATTATTGGGGTTTTATGGGGTTTCAGTTTGTTATGATTAGTAGGTTCAATTCAATTCAAAACCTTTATTTATCCAGGTAAAATCCCATTGAGATCAATGATCTCTTTTTCAAGGGAGACCTGCAGCAGTAGGTTCCACAAGAAGACATAACAACATAAACAACAAAAGGACATCATACAGCAAAATGTACAGGGATTACAATTTACATATCTAATCACATGTACAGGTACCAACAGCATCTGATTTTGTAGCATCCAACCGAGCTTTAAAAACATGTAGTGGTACTAGCTTGGTAATTTTCCATTCTTTTTGCAGACTGTTCCATGTTAGTGGAGCTGCACATCTAAAAGCTTTCTTCCCTAAGACAGTCCTAGCACTTGGCACATTTAATAAAACCACAGCATGCGATCTCAGGCAATAAGTACTTTCAATTCGCAGAGAGATCAGGGAGCAGATATAAGATGGTAGTTTATCCAACATGGCTTTGTAAATGAAAAAGTACCAGTGACTGAGCCTCCGTACAGTAAGTGATGGCATAACCGCCTTGGTATACAGGGTACAGTGATGCGTAAGTGCTTTACAATTTGTCACAAATCTCAGTGCACTGTGATACGCAGCATCTAACTTGCTCAGGTAATTGGCAGGTGCATTCATATATAACAAATCATCATAGTCCAGCACAGGTAAAAAGGTCACAGTGACTAGCCTTTTCCTGGCCTCAAGCGAGAAACAGGACTTATTTCTGTAGAAGAAACCTAGCCTAACCCTCAGCTTTTTAAGCAGGTTATTGACATGAAGTTTAAAAGTGAGACAGTCATCAAGCCAGATACCCAAGGTATTTGTAACAGGTAACCACTTCAAGTTGTATTTCTTGCGTAGTTACAATATCCAAAGCAGTCTCTGGTGTAGGTTGGGGGCGGGGAGACCTTAGAGAAGGTTCTGACTGGACTAACTGGTTGCTACGTCTGGTTGCTTGGAGCTGAGTTGGTATAACCCTGAATTAGATTAGAACATTTTAGAAATATGAGGAATAACCTCTTGGTTTTATAAACCGTTTTGTAATTACTTCTTCATCCATTTTTGGATCTCTGCGGGGTTTTCTTTTAAAACCCTAAACCCCCCCTTGGGGTTGGTCCCTCCCCTCTCCCTCTGCGGATCTAAGGTCCGGTAGAGGGGGATGGGGCACAGAGTCGCTTATCCAGGCGGGGGAGTGCATCTGACGAAGAGATAGGTTGTTGTGCTCTCTATCTCTGTTTTCTTATCCTACATTTTCACCCTGGACTAGAGGGAAAGCGTTCTTGGACGCCTTTTCAGCTCTGTTTCTTACTATATTCTTCCTACCTCGTTTACCATGAACTATTCTAGGAGAGTGTGTTGACGTTGACTCGTTGGGCCTTTCCTCCTGTACTTGTTTGTTCCCCAGTTCTTTCCTTTAACTTAATCTAGGAGAGGGTATTTAGGCCTCTCTACTTCCTTCTTTTGATTAGTTTAGTTTTTCACCCCCTTTCCCTTGAACTAATTTATACAGGAGAGTGCATTTACGTAGTCACGTTGTGCCTCTCGGCGTATACTTTGACTTTCTGTCTCTTTGGAGAGTGCTAGTACGTTGGATACGTTGGGCCTTTTCTTCATAATTTGGGTCTTCATAATTTCCACCCTATTCTAAGGGGAAGCATGATGGTGCCTTTTCTTTTCAATTTCTGGCTTTGTGTTTCTTCACCTCTTACTCGTTTAATATTTAGGAGAGTGCATTTACGTAGTCACGTTCTGCCTCTCTTCCTCTCTTCCTGGATGTTCTTCTCATACCCTTGTTTCTCTGAGAAGAGAATAAATACTATTCTAAAAAGGAGCTGACACATGGTGTCTCTTCACTTGTACACTTGAAGTTCATGAGATCTTTCTAGAGGGTTATCAAGAATAACTTTCATCCAATGACCTTTTCCCTCTCTGTCTGTGTCTGTGTATTCTCTTGTTC